GTTATTATGGAAAACATAGGATAGTGTAGGATTTATTCCACCTTGCCTTGTACTCCTATATATATGCCCACGAGGCTCAAGCAATATCAACGAACTATTCCACCAATTTCCTCTCTCCCTTCTAACAAGAAGAATCATTACAAGCCCTATGAAGGACACACCCATGGTATAAAAGTCCTAAGAAGTGTACACCCGAAGTACAACAAGATGCCCCTAGACGCTAGTCGTGCGCCCCTCTGGAATCATAGCTGCAAGCTCTCTTGCGCCTGCCAAAGTCCACGGCCTAGCCTCCCACTTAATTGTGTCGAAGAGGCGGTCCAAATTGAGCCACGCTTTGTCGAAGATGATGCTCTATAATGCACGAAGCCACAAGCTGGCGAGGTTGGAGCCAACTAAAAACACTACGACTTGATTTATCTTGAGAATATATAAAACTAATAATGGAGCAACAAACTAATTTTATTATATTGGGTAAATGAGAAGTTAAAGATACATAAAGCGTTTATTATATTGACAAAACAAATAAATCAAACAACACATATGTTTTCAACTTAAAATCTAAAGCAGGATGCATGTAATCTGTTCAACCAAAATCTTATATGTATTCCTCCATGCATCATCTAGCGAGTAAGCTGCACATCAGCATAAATATGAATTCTCTTAGCCATAGTATCAATTTTGCTTGCTCTTTGTTGCTAGAAAGCATATGCTTTGCCTGTTCTACATCAACACAACTAAGTGCATCCTTTCATCCTACATACTATCATATTTTCCATTATACTGAACTGAGCCATATTATGATGATAATCCAAACATCAGTACATTGTTTTTCTGGATAGTTAAAGAGAAATATTTAAATATCAGAAGATCTTGGTCGTCATTGACTAATTCTTTTTAATATTGTTCATACAATTGCCAAACAACGGAATTTCACCATTTTAGCAATGGTGGAACAAAAGAACCAATGCCTCTAGGGTTCATAAAGCATCAAAGTGTTGAGCACATAAGGGCGCTCTTTCCAATTCAAATGTATTGGGGCTTTCTCTCAATTCCTGAACTGCATATGTGAGATTAGACAATTATCTCAACTCCAAGTGTTCATTATGTTGACAAATTCGGTAAAGGGGTTATCTATTCATATATTCCCACATTTCTAATCCGCTGAATAAACATTAAGCCATCTTCATCTCCAAGTCACTCCATATATAACCTACAAACAAAAAATGCAGTAACATATTATATGTTCCCACTCTGTGTATGCTCCGGGCCTAGTTTACCAAGAGGATTGAAAATTTCGAATCGATTTTGGACTAGAACTGGCCGATCTTTTCCCACTTGTAATGAAGAGGTAGAGCTCATGTTAGTTGCTCAAGGAAATAGTTCAATTATATATTTTACTCAATCATGTAATATCACGATGATACACTCAAGAACATCACCTGTCCGTGCTTCTGCGCTGCTAGTAGTGAGGCATAATAAATAAATATTATTGCACACATGTATTAATGGAAGACACTGTGGGAGTTAGAAATAAGTGGAAAACTTAGGGTCATGAGTTCTGTTTGTTATTATCAAAGGGGTTATCTATTCATAAATTTCCACATTTCTAATCTGTTGAATCAACATTAAGGCGTCTTCATCTCCAAGTCACTCCATACAAAACCTACAAACAGAAAATGCAGTAACATATCATTAAAGTTTCACACCTTCCAACGGAGCAATCTAGGCTTAGTAGTGAGTAATTTTAGGTGACCAAGATTTAAAGAAGGCAACTGAGCATTAGCAAAAGTGTTATTAAGAACATGTACATTTGCTACTGCAGAAATTACTCGTTTGTGCATCTTCACCCTTGCTAACCGTAGGTACGATAGCTAACTTTGGATTAGATTACCATTAGTTATGTCTCTTATGTCCGATAGTGAACAGTGATTTTCTGTCGTAATTAAATTAACACAGTGAACTTTCTTGCACCATACCAGTGCTTACAGTTTTAGACCTATCTAGCCATCCATAATCATGTTAGCAATCTTCACTTCGTGCGTCATGCCTATTCTTAATAATGTGCATGGTTGTAGGTCACTTCCTTGCCTGCCATGTTTTGATGTTGCATAACCCTTTTATTATTGGATTAAATTTTAGTTAAAGCTTCAATTTGGAAAGTCAAATGATCCTTATTTTACTGAACATATTTTAAGAACTAACTCACGTTGGTGGTGTTACTACAAAGTTGAGAACTACTATAATATTGCTCGCTTTGTTCAGAAATATAAAATAAATTCACTGTTTGAGTTCAAGCTGTAACTGCAATTTTTTTGCGCTCCGATCCATATTAATTGTCGCTGATTTAGTATGGATTGTAGGGAGTAACATCTTTAATACTCCCTCCGTCCTACAATATAAGATCGTTTTTCACGCTAACATAGCTTGTGGGACGGAGGGAGTAGTTAAGAAATCAGAACCATATGGAAGTTTTTTTAATACAAATTGAATACAAAACCAACTGTGTGTAACACAATCAACATACTAGTGGATTAATATTAGTCTAGGCTTGAATTTGGATAATCAAATACATACAATTAAGGCCTTGTTCAGTTAGCTCCTCCACCGCCGGGATTGGAGCCCAATCCCCGCTAAACCCCGTGGTTTCGGCCTGACCGGGATTCGACCTCGGCCTGCCTTATAAGCGTATTCGATTAAACCCGGCCGAGGCTAGACCCCCGCCCAATCCCGCCCAAATCACTTGGAACTACCCGGGATATAATCCTCGCCCCTCTACCCGTGGAACCAATCCCTCCCGGTGGACGAAACGGTACGCGAGAAGAAACAAAATCGAGCCTCTCTCCCCGAGTCCCCAAGCTCTCTCTCTCTCTAGCGATTCTGCGGCGATGGCGGCGCAGCCATTAGGAGGCGGCGATGGCGGCATACTTCCCCACCTCTCCCTTCTCTCCCACCCGGTAAGCCTCTTCTCCTTCCCCTCTCCTCCTCTTCTTTCCCATCTCCTCCTGATTCTGACCTGATGTTGACCAAGGGCAACGATTCATATACATGGATCAGAAAGAGAGTAACCGAACAGGTTATGGTCGCAAGGATTCATGCGGATGAGGAATAGCAAGGGTTGGGTGACAAGTAGGGGTTCACCCAATCTCTAGGAGGTTAGAAACCACTCGTGGAATCTAACCACGACAACCGAACAAGGCCTAAGGTAATATATATTGTGATCTGTATTACATAATGCTCCGTTAGGATGTACGTATTGAGAGCCAACGAATTGCGTTGGGTCCAATATCAAATTGGCCTTGTTTTGGAAATAGGCCACAATACCAAATCTATTGTTTGGTTGCGAATGAAACTGCTTGTTGGAATCCAACAAAGTAGGCAATGCCAATTTCATGTTTGGATGTTATGTTGATGAATTGACCTAGACACATCCATCCTTCCACCGCCACCCATGACCGGCTCCCTCTGCCTCATTCCTTCCCGCTGGTCCACCACCGTGTGGCATCCCCACTCCGGCCTGGCTGTTGGCGGCCTCTCACTCAGCCGGGTAACTTCCCGGAATATCACCAGATGGTTGGCGTCCACATGCATCAGATGTGCAAGACCAAGAGCGCTATGGCCACCACGGCGCCATCCATGGCCTGCTCCTCCGTCAAGGACTCGCTCCTGGACTTGCCCCTCCTCACCTTTGCCGAGTTCGTCACCGCCAGCGCCAACTTCTCCACTGCGCACCGCCTAGCACCGTCCTCCAACTCCTTCCTTGCGTGCTCCGCAGCCACCTGGCCGCCATCTTCTGCCGCACGCTGCGGCACGACCCGGTCGAGGTCTCACCATGCTCGGCCACTGCCACCAAGCGCCTCTAAGGCACCACAGCTTCCCCCGGCGGCTCCCTCTTCCTTTCCTACGAGCTTGTCCCGAGCGCGGCTCTACGGCGCCAACAACCCCTCCATCACGCCGCCCGCCTCCTAGCAAGCGTGGCTCCACCTCGCCGCCGTTCCCTGACTCCCTGGCGTTGCTCCACCAAGGGCACGGGATCTGGAGATGCAGGGGCAGTGGTGGCCAGCGGGGGAGGAGGAGCAACCGTGGTAATAGGAGCAAGGGTGTCCCGGGCTCTCCATTAGATGGTAGCTATTGATTTTGGTAGTCAGACTTTGATGATTGGACTACAGCGCGCGACGACGTTGCGCCTTAGCAATCTCTAAGCCAACTCCGAGATGTTATTGGCCACGCCGGAGCATGATCAACCTGACCACAAAGGTCTAATTCCTGCAAGCAATGAGAACAAAGAAGAACCAAGATTTACAATCTGGATGTTGCAAATAAAAGATAAATGATAAATGATGAAAGTTGGGGTTTCATAAGCGGTCTTGGCCTGGTCCTTGGACATAAACGAAGTATGCGAAGTTGCAGCCATGGCTATTTTTTAGCTAAACAAAACCTGAGTCTAAACGACCCCCTAAGGGCTGCATTTATAGAGGGAGGGCAATTTTGCCAAACCAAAACCCAGAAGAGATAAAACGGTATCGACGCTGGCAACAAGTCAACAGACCAGGACCGAAGTTTATTTGATCAACGCAGCTACACTCAAAAGCACACAAAAAGAGACACCAGCTAAACCACAGCAGCCTGTTCACTGGTGATCGTCATCAGCACCGCCATCTTGGACTTCATCATCCTCAGAAGTACATTTAGCATATAATAGTAGATTTTGTCTTTCCACTGCTTGCAGTTTTCCATGTAAAACTTCTCAAGAGGATAAGTTTCAAGGTGAAATTGTGTTATTAGTGTTGGAGGTTGATGGGTGTAGCTTCTTGATTTGCAGAATTTGCAGATTTCATAGCAAACAGCTTCTTATGCTCATTTGTGCATTGCTCTTTCTGTCGTGGCCTCCAAAAAATTGTGGACTAAATGTATTCTGCCTTTTATGGTTTTCAGACTGAAAGAGGTGAAAGCTTTCTCACATTTGCAGTGGACATGACCCTGAAATCAACTAAAGCATTGGTACAACCAACTTCTCCAGCTGGTCTTGATTTCTGGAGATCCAAGTTGCTATGGGCCTCGCGTGTTCTACCAATGCCACTTATTGGACTATTTGTTATCACCGGGCTTTGTTTGCCAGTGGATAAGCAAGATGGATATCCTGAGCTGGAAGCATTATCCAAACTAGATTTAGGAGCTGCTCTTAAGATTTTTCTGGCTAAGCAATTGACCTCTGAGTGAGTACATTCAAACCAGTAGTGCTAGTTATGGTTCTTTATTTACTAATTCTTCTTTTTCTCGTATGCAGTTTCAATGCTATGACTGCACCTGCTGAGGATAAGTCAGTTATAATTGGGGAAAGGAACAGAGTTGCAACTGAGAAGATAAAGGGTGCGATAAACCGAGGGTACAAGAGAATAGCGGTTCTGTACGGAGGTGGGCATATGCCAGACCTTGGAAGACGTCTTCGAGAAGAGCTAGATATGGTCCCATCCAATGTGCAATGGGTCACAGCATGGTCAATAAGAAGCCGGGAGCTAGATAAAAAATCGCTTCCATTTTTGAAGACGATGGCTGAGGTTTCAGGGTGGCCTTTGAATAGATATGAAACACTTGCTTTGCTAATCTTTTCTTCGGTTCTTGCAGTGGATCTATGGTTTTGGGAGTTTCTCGTGGAAAGCAGTCTGAATTGGGCATCTTTGGCTGGTTCCTGGATCGATCAATTTAGTGCTCCATTTTGACAAAGAGTTTACAAAACCATTTACTGTTGCAGTTAGTTTCAGATATTAGTTGGAGTGCTGTCTATGCAAACTTGTAGATAACAATTTATTGAATCAACTTGGAATGAGATTAGTGAGAAAGTTGAAGCCAGTGGGTCTTAGGCTGTGCTTAGTTGGACTTTTGCAGCCTTTTTTTTTTGCTTTTCAATGCTATAATAAGCTAACCAAAGAGAGAAAATGAGAAGCAAAGAATGTAAAGGTTGTATCTTCTCCGTAGTGCAATTCTTGCAGTTGGTGCATTACACATGCACACCCTATCCCTATGGGCACCTTTGAAAGACTGAGCCGACATATCATTTTGAAATTTACGAAATCACCGTAACCACCTCGTCGTCGATGGGAACGTCTTCTCTCACTGAATGTGCATCATCGGAAATCCTAAAATAAATCTAGGAATAAATGCGAGCATAAGACTTGAACCCTGGTGGGCTGGTGATACTACAGTCCCTCTAACCATTCAACCACAGGTTAGTTCGCGCTGCCCTTGAAAATTGCAATGTAACTCGCCACCCGCTCAACCTGCGCAACTCCTAGCCGCTCGGCAACCAGGGTTTGGCCGCCGCCTCCTGCCTTCGCGGCTTGCTCCAGCGACCCTCCACGTTTGGCCAGGTATAGTCTTCCTTCCAACCTCTACCTACCCCCATCCCGTGGCGGGTGGTCTGGTCGGTCCGGCGCCGCCGCATCGGCTCTTCTCCTCCCCATTCCTCCTCTAAGAAGAATAAAGAGGAATAAAATTGATGATATATTGCTCGAGCCCCATGGTCTATTCTGCTAATATTCTTTTCAACTTCCGAACTACACTCTCAATGCAAGTGCACGACATTGTTGAAGCAAAAACATTGCAGTACTGAGACTAGTGAACTTCTCGTCATAAAAAAAATGGCGCACACCTTTTCGGTACTGTTTTTTGTTATATTTGTGTCGAATATTATGTACGCAAGAGGTTACGTGGACTTGGAGTTGTAATTGGGTTGGTTAGGTACGAGTAGTGTAGGAGTCGGACACGTTGTATCCTAGGCCTCTTATATATAGAGGGCACCACACGTTGAAACCTATGATGACTTGATAGCAACAGGTACGCGGGGGAGCCGACGGCTTGTGTCGGCGCCCGGGTGGCCGGTGTTGCGGTATCTTATGGAGGAGCGTCCGTAGTCATGCCCCGGGGATGTAGCCATATCGGCGAACCTCGTTAACAAATACCATGATAGAGGCGAGGGGCCCGATCTTTCGATGAGATGATAACTATCGACTTGGTGGAGACGACTTTGACGACCCGACTACAAACATGCACGACCTTGCGCCTTAGCAATCGCTAAACCAATCTCCCGAGGTTACTGACGATGCTGGAAGCATGATCAGCCTGACCACGAAGGTCTATTCCTGCATGCAATCGAAGAGCAAGCAAGAATATGATAATGCAATCTGAATATTACGAATATAGATGAAGTATTAATAAATATGGGGATTCGAAAGCGGTCTTGGTCTGGTCGTTGGACACAAACGAAGTACACAAAGTTGCAATGGTTATAACTAAACAAATCCCTAGGAAAAAGCTACTAGATGGATCTAAGCAAGGGGTAGCGGCCAAGGAGGTGGGAGGACGTCCCAAGGCAGACTAAAACTAACCCTAGGTCGTACAAGGCTCATGGGCCCAAGAGGAGGTGATGCAACACCTTTGGACTTGTACATTGACTCGGATTCTGCTGCAGCGCAGATTGTTTCATCGATAACTCAACGCTTCGGGCGAATTTGAAGGTGAATCCAATTGGGTTGGAAAGAGCACGAAATCTACTTTCCAACAAAAAGAGTCACCCAATTCAGAGTCAGTATAAAAGGGTTCTTAGTGTTTTGAGTCAGGTATGTCTGTGTAGTCCGAATCTGAATTCAGAACGTGAGAGACTTCGGCTCTATCTTCTCTTGGCTCAAAAGTGATGTGAGAGGACTTTTTGAACAACACCTAAACTTCTCTTTTCCCCTTATCTTCATATGTTGATTGTACAAATGTCCAATACACCTGCAATTAGACATGACATAAAAGTTTGCGAAGTATTTTTTGTCCTGGATGACATAAATAAATCATTGCATAGTTTGCATTAGAAATCACCTCACAAATATACATGTATGCAATATTTTTGGTCGTATCCAAGGTAGTCATGTCCTCATCATCCTCCCCTTCTTGAAAACAAAGCCGTCCTCGGCGTTGCTTAATCTGAAATGTGGCTAACAAAAGAGACAAGGTGTACATGTTGTATATGTATATGTCATCCATTTTTACTTCCCTTGGTCTTTGCACATATGACACATGTATACATGAGTAACTTTCATAGTTTATAAAATCTGAAGCCAAAATATTATCACAAGAAGTAGAAGGAATGGAAATATTACAACTCAGTTTGCACATATAAGTGAAACTCTTATTCATTTCAAAAGGTTGAAAATGTTCATCATTAAACCATCCCAACATGGGTGAATAAACCTTACTAGCATCAAATTTACATGCTACAACATGCTTAAATAAGAAAACATGCAATAAGTCATTTGTCACATAATCATCACCAAGATTAGAGGTCATATAAAAATAATTAATATTGGTTCTTTTGCATCAACAGTTAATTCAATGGGTGCACTAAAAAATGTTGGTATTTCAGTTGTTTGATCACATGACACATTCATGATAGTAACACGATTCTCTAAAATAGGTGGTGTGCTCAAATCAACAGGTAACTCAACACATGATGCATTCAAGTTAACTAGGCATGCATCATTCTCATGTGAAGTTATATCATCAATACCTTTACTGTTACCTTGTCGCGAGGATGTAGCTGATGTAGGTATGGACGATGACAATGTACCATAATCTTGAGATGACGTCGCACTCTCAATCTGAGGTGTGGCTGCTCTGATACCATTGATAGAGGCGAGGGGCCCGATCTTTCGATGAGATGATAACTATCAATTTGATGGAGACGACTTTGACGATCCGACTAAAAACGTGCACGACATTGCGCCTTAGCAATCGCTAAACCAATCTCCCGAGGTTACTGCCGATGCTGGAAGCACGATCAACCTGACCACGAAGGTCTATTCCTGCATGCAATCGAAGAACAAGCAAGAATATGATAATGCAATCTGAATGTTGCGAATATAGATAAAGTATTGATAAATGTGGGGATCCGAAAGCGGTCTTGGTCTAGTCGTTGGACACAAACAAAGTACATGAAGTTGCAATGGCTAAATTTTAAATAAACTAATCTCCAGGAAAAAGCTACTAGATGGATCTACTTATATAGGAGCAAGGGGTGGCGGCCAAGGAGGTGGGAGAACGTCCCAAGGCAGCCTAAAACTAACCCTAGGTCGTACAAGGCTCATGGGCCCAAGAGGAGGTGATGCTACACCTTTGGACTTGTAGTTTGACTTGGATTCTCCTGCATCATCAGATTGTTTCGTCGATAACTCAACGCGCCGGACGAATTTGAAGGTGAATCCAATTGGGTTGGAAAGAGCACGAAATCTACTTTCCAACAAAAAATGAATCACCCAATTCGGAGTCCGTATGAAAGAGTTCTTGTCGTTTTGAGTTAGGTATGTCTGTGTAGTCCGAATCTGAATCCAAAACGTGAGAGATTTGGGCTCTATCTTCTCTTGGATCAAAAGTGACGGGAGAGGACTTTTTGAATAGATCTAATCTTCTCTTTTCCTCTTATCTTCATATTTGGATTGTACAAATGTCCAATACACCTGCAATTAGACATGACATAAAAATTTGTGAAGTATTTTTGTCCTGGATGACATAAACAAAATATTGCATAGTTTGCATTAGAAATTACCTCACAAATATACATGTATGCAATATTTTTGGTCGTATCCAAGGTAGTCATGTCCTCATGATATCGTGCCTCGATGTGTCGTCTATGATCTTGCATTAGCGTTTTATTCTAACAAGTGGTATTATGAGCAAGGTTCTGAGAAGGCTATGCGGAAGATCATCCGGAGGTATGAGGATCATGCTCGACGGGTGCCATGGAACGTCCGATGGTGCAAGGTGGAGCATAGCGGCGATCTTTTCAGAGGCAAACGGAATCGAGAAGGTCAAGCCTTGGTTGCGGCGCTGCGTACCGAGACGACACTCGGAGCCATGGAGGACGCGTGTGGTATTCGGTCTCGGCAGCAGCACAACGCACAAGGAAAAGGCAGGTTACGGTGGTTACGCGCGACAAGGCAGGTGACTGAATTGCTGGCGAAGAACCAAGATCAGAGGCGATTTTCTCGTCGGAGATACAATAGCGGCAAATTTTTTCCAAGGGACACGAACCGAGGAAAGGAAGGTCAGGTTTCGGTTAGCGTTGCACGAGATGACCGCTTGGAGCCTCGGAGATGACGTGTGGCAATCGGTCTCGGCAGCTGTGCGACATGCAAGGCAAAGGAAAAGGTCAAGGCAGTAGGTTTCCTCGTACGCGGTGCAACACAAAAGGAAAGAAAAATTGTATTGTGGCAGGAGTCCAAGGGATTAACATACACGCGGTTAGTTGATCTAGTATGTGCATGCGTGTGCATGTTTGGTCTAGGGGACAAGTCTGCTACTGGTTATGGTTGAAAAAGAAAAGAGATGTGTGCATGCATGAAACTTGGGACCGTGCGTGACTTAGTTTGGTAAAGGCATAGCAAACTGAAGGAAATATGCCCTAGAGGTAATAATAAAGTTGTTATTTATATTTCCTTATATCATGATAAATGTTTATAATTCATGCTAGAATTGTGTTAACCGGAAACTTGACACATGTGTGGATACATAGACAAAACACAGTGTCCCTAGTACGCCTCTACTAGACTAGCTCCTTAATCAAAGATGGTTCAGTTTCCTAACCATAGACATGTATTGTCATTTGATGAATGGGATCACATCATTAGGAGAATGATGTGATGGACAAGACCCATCCGTTAGCTTAGCATAATGATTGTTA